AGAAAAAAGCGGTCCACGGTCAAGATCCAGTGCTTGGGCATTTATTCTCAGCGTAGTAACGGGTGGTTGAGGAGCAGAGACGACATACCGCGGTTATGGTCCCGCACATTGCAGCAGCGGAAAGAGCGATAGGATTGAGGATGGCTCTGCAGCTCTGACTGAGATGCGGGGCTGCCGAATATCGCTTGGCACGGAGGTACATGATTGTGAAGAACAACACAAGGAATACGCCGTATAGGAGCCCCTCGAGCGCCACTGTCGCCATACTCACCGAGACAATGGAAAATTGGGGCATCGCACTGGACGCTGTGGTAGCCGATGGGAGGAGACGGAGAGCTTCGAGCGGTTGACCCTTTCCCAGTATGAAAGGATCGCCTACTAAGCGCATTGATAAGGCTCTTGCATGCGGTGATGGCAAATCCGGGATGTCGTAAAGCGAGAAGAATGTGAATGAAGCGATGAAGGCATGGAGTCATTGATAGCCCTCCATAGCGGCATACTTAATGTATAGGACCAGGACGAAAGGAGGCAACTTGAAGAAAGTTAGCAGTGCCATGGATTTGATTTGATTTGATCAATTATCCACTCTCCAGGTTCGTTTTTCGACGTTCAATTCGATGGAGTCCGGCAAGCACAGCGTCTGCGAAAGTGAGATCTTGACGATCAGTGATGAAAACTGGCTGTTGAGCTTTGAGCAACGAATCGCACTGAGCAATGACCTTCTCGAGGGAGTGAGGAACGGTAAGCCTGGGATTGATATACCTGCTGTCAAACTGAAACCGATTGCGCAGATAAACTGTTCCAGCCTCCCAATTTAATGGCGGCTTCCCGTAGGTATACGTATGACATTGCGGGAGTTAGGTACCACTCCATAGTCGACCCCGTCAGTCCGAACTAACCTCGAGGGATGACGGGGATGCTAAATGTCTCAGTCTTTAGCAAATGGATTCTTTCCCTCCCATGGCGAGATTTGCTGACCAGCTCACGGCGGACGGAAGAGGCCCGAATAGGTGGTAAAGCCTCGAGGCCGAGCGATCACCGCCGTGGGTGAGCGCTTGGAACCACCAACAGTTCGTGCAGTCCATGCTCCGCCGCGTCGATGTACTCCAACGCAGCAAAAGTATCCGAGCTCCCCTGTACCGTCTCGTTCTCTTCCCTGACAATTGACAGCAGGGTATACATATATGTGCGCCGGTGCGGTGCACATCTCATACCTTAGTTGATATGTACGAGCTGATGGGAAGGCGAGGTTTAACTCCCCGCCGGTGCATAAGCCTGGCCCAATTTTTTTGCCTGAGGGACTCCCGCGCGGAGCCACCAATTATCTTCAACGTGTTGCGTCGCCTACGGTTGGCCTGATGGGGCGCGACATTCCACGCACTCTCCTCCCACTGGGACTCGATTCATTATTTAATCCTCCGGCACCCTACACATGATGAACCCCACTGACTGTGGTATTTAACCCTTACAGATGTGGGTTGGACCACGCCCACTTGATTCTCTCGCCCATTACAAGTTTTGCAAGTCACGGTTAGCTAGCACCGGTGGTATACAAATTCAAGTTCAAGTTCAAGATTTGTGTCACTCAAGCCATACGTCCGCCAATTCGAGCCGAGTTGAAAGATACAGAGTACAGAGAGATATCTGGAGCTATGCTTCGACCGTCCACATCTCCAGAATTGCTGAACCCCACCGCGCAAGATATTAAGACACCCAAAATTTCATCGACAATCTTCGAGAGTGAGACGACCCTGCTTATAAGGTTTCCTGCAAGCGGCGAGTAAGTCTCCATTAACTAGGAAGGGGAATGGCCACTTACATACGCCGCCGAATCAGCAATTGCAGGCCCTCGCCGCCTCCATGCGACCGCTCATGGTGTCCGAGTTACACTCGCAGACGGTGGGAGTAGCTTGGACGCTCAGTGTGAACGCCGCGAGGATGAGGGAGAGAGTTGCGAGGGTGGGGAACTGCATGCTGGGGTGTTTGTGGTGTGGGATGGTAGCCTGAGTCAGGATGGTAGGATGCAGGGTGCGCGAGGCGGTTTATATACGAAATATTAGGGCTCGCTGGGGATAAATTTTGAGCCACAGTTTTGGAGAAACGGCGCTCTAGAACCGGTTTGAATACAGCCCGGGCGGCGAATATTGAGAGGGAGGTTGAGGAACACGAAGTTGAAGGGTGATGGACAGTCCACGCGAGGTTGGGTTGCCAGTTCCTTCGCGCAGTCCTGGGTGGATCTCGTACATCTGAATACGCCCCGGGCGGCGTATGTTGCGAGGAAAGAATGTGTTGTTGAAGGTGACAGCCAGCGCGCGCGAAGGTGGGTGGGTTGCAGCCTCTCGCCGGGTATCTGATAACCATCTGTTGAGACGCCGTGAATACGGAGAGGAGGATGGATGATGACCATCCACGGTGGAGAAGTGGGGCCTTGACTTAGACGAGTTTCTTGGTGACATGTGGCGGAAGATATCTGTCCATCCGTGTCCTTGTCATCCAGATTCGTACAACTTAATTCGGGTGTTGATGGGGTTGGGTGGTAGCGGCCGCAGGCCAGCCTCGAATGCATGAGGGTTGTGTCTCAATCTCTTCTTACTTTATAGCAACTAAAAGTACACGAGCCCCGGTGGTGTCCGGTGGAAATACGTGGCGGAATTGAACTTTGAAGGTGGACGATCGTGGGAAGGCCAGTGGCGGTGCATAATGTCCTCGGCCCGCCTTTTTCAACGTGTTGTTTTACTTTGGGCATGAACGAGAGCATCGTCCTGCGCTCACTGCCTATTAAGTTCTGTCATTCCGCCCTCAGTCCGCGTTAACGATCCATTTCGATGCATTACACGATTCATTCAATTTCCACTCATACTCACTTTGGAAGCTTTCCTGAACCCTCTCGAACTCCCGCACAATTTCTCCCATCCATCGTCAGTGCTGAATAGCAAGGTACGAGCCCCGGTGGTGTACGCCGCGCACCCGAGGTTTCTTGTTGCCTGTAGACAATCTCATGGGAAGGCAGGGGTTGGACTCCCCGGCGGTGCGTGATGTAGGACTGTGCCATTTTTTGCCCTCGTCTTCCGTTCTCCTTCTAAACTCGCCTTGGGAACCTTTGTTCAATTTATCTGTAACCACCCCAACACCGCGTTGACTCTCCTCGTCCATCATCAGGACTCCCGTCCACCCGGTCGTCCCTGAATACCACCCTTTCTCACATCATTCGGTGCCTAGCTACCCGGTATGAGCACAAGTGCGCGGTGCACACCCCAAACGTACAAGGCGGTAGACACATCCTCGTGGAGAGCCCGGGGTTCGACTCCCATTGGTGCGTGTCGAAACCGTCCCATTTTTGGCATCTTTGTTAATGCTCGATTATTTGCGCTCGTGCGGTGTGGAGAGCACTGACGATTCACACAGTGGGGACACGAGGGAGAATTCACTTTGATGTTCAATGTCACCAGACAGGTATCGAGGATTTTATACAAGACGGATCAACCCACGATTATTGCTCCAAGTATTCAGACTACGAGCACCGGCGGTGTATGGTACACGCCCCACCCTCCGGAACGAGAGGACACGTAATAATGTTGAGAGGGAGGCCGGGGTTCGATTCTCCGCTGGTGCACAGCGTTCTGAGCCGGGTTCCTTGTTCTATTCATCCCCTGGCCTTTACGTAGTTCGGCTTTCCCTGCGGTATGCACAAACGCTGACGTTTGATGCATGCAGGGTGAGTTAGCGTCAGTTCAATAGAGAGCTTGCGCAAAAGCCGCACGAGCCGCACGCGGCTTTTGTGCATTGCGCAAAGCCGCGGGTCTTTCTTTGCCGTTTTTAATTCTTGTCTTGCTAAATACAATTCAATGCCCCTTAAATCCCATATTCCACTCCTGAGAGTGCTATTTGTTGGATGTGCAACTGTGGGAGGCCGCATTTATCACGCATCACAAAGGCATCACTCGAGCTCCACTTTCTTTTCCCACACTCTCGTGTCTGCCACGCAGCAGAGGCAATGCCGAGGATGTTCCCTCTCCCCATAGCACCTCTCCTTCGCCTCAGGTAAGCTTACATTGATTGACACCTCTCACATTTCAAATTTGCCGTGCGGCTTTGCGCAATGCAAAAATGCCGCATGCGGCTCGTGCGGCTTTTGCGCAAACTCTCTAATATTGCATCACATGTTTAACTTACACTGTGACCCGTGGAACCTTGGGCTCTCGTAGTTCATACGCATATCATGGAGGGATCAATGCATCATTGTATCGAACTACATAGGGAGTGTTAGTGTTGAGTCCGTCAAACACAGCAAAATATTACTTGAATGAATTTGAACAAGGCCTCGCTCCGAGTCTATTCAAAACGAAGATCTTCGGTATGTCTGCGCCGCCGAGGACCACACGGCCCTGCTCCCCGGGATACATATTACCGAGAGTAATGATATTGCAAACGCGCATGTACATCCGTTGCAGTCCCTTCGTGCGCGGTCGACAGTCCTGGGTTGCTCTCGTACATCTGAATACGCCCCAGGCGGTGGATGTTGGGCGGAAAGAATGCGTGGTTGGAGGGTGACAGCTAGCGCGCGCGAAGGTGCGTTGCAGCTTCTTCCCGGACACGCGATAGCCATCTGTTGAGACGTTGGTGAAGTGTCGGAGAGAGGGTGGCTGGGGAGGCCATTTGATCCACGGTAGATTAGTGGGACAGTTACTCCGAGGATGCCTCCTGGCGACAGGTGGCAGACGAAATCTGTCCATCCGTGTCCATGTCGTTCATGTTGGAACAACTTCCGTTTTGAGAAGGAGTGCAATTCGGGTCTTGACGGGTTTGGGCAACGGCCGCAACGATGCACCGATATATTTGTCCACTTGACTGGAAGCCAGCCTCAAATGCATCCAGCTCGTCTATCAATCAGCAGGGACAACATTTTCTTACAAATGAGGTTGAACACTCCGGATTGCCTGAGCGATTCAGCCAAAAACAGTCCTTAATTATTCTTCCAGGGGCTGCACCAACAAGTAGAAGCACTGGTGGTGCACGGCGCACGCCCCATCCCAAATTGTTGGCCTTCGAATTCAACTGGCTGTGAGGAGCCCGGGGTTCGACTCCCCGCCAGTGCATGCGCATATTGTTGATTCTTTTTTCTGTGCCAGTCCTTCCAAGTCCTCCTGTCATCTTTCTTTCTGACACGGCGTCCGCCATACGGGCATGTGCCAATTTGAAGGGCCCCCGAGTCTACGCAGCGCACGCTTGAGCCTTGCAGTCCCCACAGAATTGCATGTTCCAGCAGCGGCGCGGACTAACTAGGTATAAGCGGTGCGGTGCGCGGCGCACGCCCATCCTATACAAGACTTTCACAGCCATAAATGGGGAGAGGCCGGGGTTTGACTCCCCCCCGGTGCATGAAAAGCGATGTCATCATCTTTTTAATTTGCTTTTTTCTCTCTCGCAGTTTCCATTGACACGTATTATATGATCGGGCCTCGAGGAGTCCTATTACGCATCTCTGCTGCTCGCTCCTCCAAGTGCACTCCCTTAGGGCAGAGTCTCGCTTGGATGTCTTCTCTACCTTCTTGCTGAGCGCCTGCGCTTACCCTGCGGAACTGCGCTCCGCAAACCGTATATTCCGCATTCGTATCCACTGAGCCGCAACCGGGGTTCCTCGACGCGGGGTGGAATGTATTTCTCGGTCTGTGCATGCACTCCCTTCGTCTTCCTCCCTACCCCCGCCATCGGCTCGCACCCACATCACACGAGCTTTTTCTTGCGTTCTGCGCCAGTTTCAAAAGAGTAATAAGACTCCTCTGAATTCTGTTTCTCAAATCTATGGCCTTCCTAGCAGTATGTATGCGCCGGTGGTGCGCGGCGCACGCCCCACACAGGTGTGAACACATTCCCGCCGTGTCGTGGGGCGGAAGGGGTTCGACTCTCCGCCGGTGCGTAAAGTGGTAAGATTGCGCTTTTTCTTTTTCCCTTGGATTCTGTTTGATAGCTCATTAGGTCTGCAGGTCTGCATGGCGCTGGAACGAGCACTCGGCGTTCGATTCCACTTCAACGCATGAGTCTCTGGGAACATTATCCCGAAACCTGCCTACCCGGCTCAATTATTCTGCCATTACAAGGAGAATTGAGCAGGGTTTAACACATCCCAGACCTTTGATTTGTTGGTGAAGGATAGTCATGGGGAGGCGTTCGACTCCCCGCCGGTGCGTCAAATACATTGTTGTCTACATTACATACCTGGAATGTAATTATTTACGGTCCTGTGCGAAACCTGTACGAGGATAGTCTAAAAAATAAGCACGCGGCGAAATAATTAGGCTTCATCAGTTCAACTCGGATACGAGTCGGGTTGTTCCGGGCGCCGCACCGCCTCTGACGTCATCTCTCTTTTCTTCTCTTCCTCGATCTTGCTCATCGGCCTGGTCTCCTCTGTGCTCTGACGTTGCTCTTGCGATGATCGACCGTATCCCCTCTTCTGCCTGCTTGTACGTCCGAGCTTGCCGCCCGCTGAACGGTCTGGAAGACAAGATGGCGGATACGTGCCACCGCTTCTGAGTCTTCTCCGTCCTGCTGTTGACCTGAGCGCTAGGCCTGAGCCCCAGGGTGCTCCCCACCCGTCCCTCGCAGCGCCAAGTGTCCAATGCGTTGTGGAACGACGCCTTGCCGGTCATGCGAGTACGATGGCGGCGCGGGGGACGGTACGTACTTGCCTGCCGTGCATCTCTTCCTCCCTTGTGTGGGTGAGCATACGTCCGGTGGTACGCGCAGGTCGGTTCGTCGCAGTTCCCGCCGTGCGCCAGGATCCGAGTGCTACGTGGGTGCCTTCTTTTGCTCCTTCTGCTTTTGCATTCTCCGCGGCTGAGGGCTACGACGCTGTGCAGCCTCCACTGTCCGTACACCATGCCCCGGCGTGCTCCATGTCTGGCGTTGAGCTTTTTCGCTGCGCCGCTGCGGTCCATTCTCCTCCGCTCGACGCGACTGCCTGCGTCCCAAACTCTGCCCTCGGTGCGCGCGCTTAGCTGTGTCACGCGTCTCGTATTCCGTGTGGCGCGTGCCGTACGCACCGCACCGTGCCCTCGGCGCATATGCGTCCCTGCGTGCGGCCCCGTGTTGTGTTGCGCGCCACACTCTGCTCCTCTCTTCGTATATATTCGATCGGGAGCAGAGGAGAGATTACACATCTCCCGCGCCTCTCCTACATCTCGTCCAGGACTGACACTCCACATTGCACGACGGACGCCCCATCCCCCGCGGGCGGCGCCACATCCACTACGCCTGATTCCACGCTCGACGACTCTACCTCATCTACGCCTGAGACTTCCACCACACCGGAGACCTCGTCCACACTGGCACCAAGCACCCCCGCTGTGTCAACGACTCCCCGGGGACGACGCCGCCTACGCAGACCGAGGCGTCAACTAGCCCGAGCGCGAGTCCGTCGAACGCCGCGGCCGCGCGCACGGCACCAGGTGTGATCGTAGGGATTTTGGGGCTCGCGCTTGGGTTGATGCTCGGAGCGAAGAATACAGGTGAGAAGGGGAGGAGAGGATGAGGAATGGACTAACGCACGTATCGACTGCACGCACAGACGAGCTACGCTACGCTACGTATTTTCCTTATCTCAAATTTGTGTATTGGATACACTACGACTATTTCCCCTCTTTCATTCTTCCTTCCTGTGTCATTTTTCCGAAGGACGATGGGAAGACTTGAACGCACAAAGGACGGGCCAACGCACGCAACGCACGCAAATGGCTGCTGCACGGACAAGCTACGTAGTTTTATCGTCCTAAAGTTGTGTATTGAATGCACTGCTGCTTTGTGATTCATTTCCTTCTGCCTGCGCGTGGCGTCCGAAATCTCGGATGCCCATCGTCACGCGCAATCGGGGACGCTCGGCGAGTCTAGATCTGTCAGTCTATCGCGCGCTGCGTGCATCATCCGCGCTCCTCGCTCCTCCTGCGCTCGCTTTCTACTCCAGCTACCGATCGTATCACAGGTACAACGTTACAGGGTAGGAGCGCCGGTGGCAAGGTGCGCGGGCATCTCCCTGTATGATACCGATGATGTACAAGAATGCTACATAAGCGTGGGTAGCGGGGTTCCACTCCCCGAGTGTATGTACCAAGCTCGCAGGCCGCTTATCTGCGCCACAAGTAAGTTATCAGGTGCCATGGGCTGGATGCAGGCGGAAGATGGCATGTACGGCGAGCTTGACTGTGCTTCTGTCCGAGCTATCGACACTTGCGTTCACGAGGACCTTGACAGACATCTCCTCAGCATGGTTAGCTTTCGCTATGCAGCCAGCTGCACGGGTCCACTTCGCTCGCTTCTAAACTCGGGGAGAATGGCAACGGAGGGCGAAGAAGCAACTCCGCGCGATAAGGTGAGAATAAGCGCCAGAAAAGGAAATTTTCGGGGGCGTTGAAGCGGATTCACATGTTGTCGTCTTTCTCGACAGAACGCTTCGCCGATCCTCGTGAATGAAATGTCGGGCGTGGACCTCGGTCGGGTCAAGGGAATTCACCTGATTGCGTCGGATTCAATAGTAGACGTAGTGTGCACTGGCAGAGTGATAGACCTGTCTGGATACCATCTTTTGACATGCGACAGCACGCCCGGTGCCTGTTAGCTCATTGTCGAACTGGAGCCTCTTGAACCGCTCCCCCCACGCAGTCTGCCTGGTTTCCAAGTGGCATTCCGGCGATTGTGGCAAAACCGACGGGCACGGCAGCTAACACTGATGAGTGGAGATGTTCGATTCCATACAGTCGGGCAGAAAGAAAGATGCGGGGCGTTGAGACACAACTTGGAAGCATGAGATGGACTGCCATGGCCAGTGGACCGGAATGGCCAGGTCTGGGCGAGCAATGAGGAAGGGAGTGTGTCCAAGTTGGATCAAGGAAGAGCTCAAGGTCGAAGAAAAGCGAGGAATACTGCGGCAATGATGATGGCCAAGAAAGAACCGGGGGACGAAACACTGACAGCTTGAAGACAGATATCGCTGGAGGAGACTCGAGATAATGTATACCACGTAGGATATGAGCAAATGAAATGCGAAGGCAGCGAGCGGCGGCGATAGAATCGAAGATCCAGGCGGCGCGGACGTACGCGGCGAGGAGCGGCAGCAGCGCTGGCGGCGCGAAACGAGCATGGTGGTGGAGGCAAGGCGCGTGTGGTCATATCTGGCTCGGTGATCGGACCGATGCCGGATATAGGCGCATCAATTGTGCAAAAAAGGTAGAAGAAGACAAATCGGAAACATAGGTCGTGCAAATTCTCATGATAAGGATGTTGAGACGGATGTCACGTAAGTATTTCATCTAGCAGAGAGGCCATCAAAAATCACTGGCAAACGGGGCTAGGTCGAGTGAGGTATTAAAATACTGGGAAACAAAGGCGTATAAGGTGGGCGTCGTGCGCGCAGTAGATAATAATGGATTTATCCAGGATCGTCAATAGGTATCGATACACCCCAATCAAGCCTAAACTCGACAGCGGGTCCAGTACGGTGTTAAAACGCTCGGGAGCGTAGCGCAGCAGGTGTAGTAATTTTGCAGGCCGTGGATGGACGGTTGCAGTTGATCCATGCTCAAATAGAATTTAATATGGGATCAACTGAGAGTATTGCTGTTAAGGACTCCGAGTCGTCGACGGGCGTAGCGGGTAATAATGGATTTGGAGCCTTCTAGCTTGTAGATTCCCTGTAGGTGAATCGAAATACAGCCAGCGATACTACAATCGACAACAGGGCTGATTCAAGGACGAAGACAAACTGGATTGTATTTTTCACACCAGTCGGAGATCGTCATAGTTGAACAGCAATGCATCAAGTGCGAGAACGAGCTCTGAGTCTCTGAATAACGGGTGCAGCGGCCATGGATTCCTTCCCAGACTGTAAGACTCCTCAAGCGTGCAGACTGGGATCTCCAATAGTTGTCAATCCCAACTGGAAAGCGAAATTTCAACTCTTAACATACTCAGAGTCGTTGAGCACAGGGGATAAGAATGGGTTCGCGCAGGCTGCGGCGCCCGGCTACAGTCGGGCGGAAAACGGGCGCAGCTAGGTGTCCAAGAGTCTGAGGGTAATATTATCAAGCATGCTCAAGGTCAACGA